AACATGTATAATTGCGCTTTACACTAGTTCATTTTGTCAGAGCTTATTTTATTTGTTGGGCACGATCTGACTCAGATGGGCTGCTACATATCGTCTAAATGATGCAGAAGAAGAAAGAGGCCCGAAAAATTATCTTGAGTGATAGAACAGCTAAAAAAGAAACTAAGCCATTTATACTAGCAGACATTATCTCACAAGTAGCGAAAGCATATAGACGATTGCGGTCCCATAGTACTACTGCGTTGAGAAGGTAACGGAAACAAGAATCTCCAATAAAAGCGATAGAAAATATGGAAATATATTTGGTTGGGAAATTAGCGAAAATCCGAAGAGATGAGACGACTGCACGGCTTCGGGAGCTGCATCTGACGACTGGGCTTTATCTGAGCGAGAAAACTTAAGAGTGAAGGTCAAAAGCGCGGCGCTGGTTGAGAAATAAGCCGTGTGATTCAGAAATGCGGTGACGTCATCAGTTGGACCAGTGCCACTGCGTAGCTGCCCGCGTCCTATAACATCTGTCGAGCTGCTACGCAGTTTGTATTTTACACAATTTTCCTTCCGAATTTTCTCGTTTCGAACATTTCCTTATTAAGTTTTTCATAAAGTGGAGCCATTTGGTCGAATTAATTAACCAGTGAATGGAAGAATATTGGAGTTAGGCGCCAGTACCGGTTAGTGCCCCAATTGTCATTGTTTAGGCTTACGGGCACAGATCGATAATTTATTTGTTTGTTTCGTTTGAGCGCAGGTGTATCACGAGTGCTTTCCTGTTTTGCCGATCAACTAGCTCATTCTTCTAGCTCTTCATTTTTAAGAAGTTCCATACTCTCAAGTGGGAAACATGGATAGGAAAGCCATCGTCGAAAAGATCAAGAAGTTGCAGGCGAATGCTGAAAATGTCCAGCTGGGTGGCAAGGTTGGCTGTTTGGTTCCTATACATATCTCCTGATGTCTAATTGTTTTTTTTTGCAATTTTGTCTATAATTTAGTACCCTTGTAGACACTGAAGTAGTTCTAGCAACTCGACTATACGAAAGGCACTTAAAGGACTCTTTGTGCAGAATTGGTTTTGAAAAAAATGAGATCTTGTTAAAGGAATCTTTAAAGTGGCTAAAACCAATTTCCTTTTACGAAAAAAAAGCTTTTCACAATGC